GCCGGTCCGTGGCCCCACCTCCAAAGTGCCCATCATCAGAGAAGCGTGGGCGCCCGACGTGGTTGGGAGGCTCGGGGGAGATCTTGAGGTCGAATCCCAGGTCGTTGAAGAAGACGCGAACGGTGACACGGAGCTTGTCGTAGTCAAGGCACTTGACCTTGACCCGGACCTCCTCCTCTTTGCGGAGGGAGAGCTCGTCCACCACCACCACCTTGCCAAGGATCTTGGACATACTGCGAATGACCCGCTCGGACCGGGCGACGTCAGGTAGCCCGGCGATGAGGATCCAAGTAGTATCCAGGACCGCGACCGCCTTGGGGTCGACCTTAGGCTCAGAGATGTTGACCACAAGCTTGTTCAGGGCCAAGGTAATGTCGTTGCTGCGAGTGCAGAGGCCCAAGCTGATGGCGTCCGGGAAGACCACGGTGAAAGAACTGGCAGAGGTCGGAGTCACCTGCCAGTCCCACACACGTCGGCACAGGTGGTTGAGCTCAGCCTCGATCATCTTCGGGGAAGCAACACCCACCCCCACGACGGTGACGATCGCCTGGAGTGACGGGGAGGGGGGTGGTAAATCCTCCACCTCGATGTGAAAGAACCCGAGGCCCTCGATGCCATGGCCATACATCATGAGCTCATCAGTCAGCGGACGGTCCGGGCACAGGGCCGCTGGGTGCCCAGTATCCTTGCAGAGGTAGCACAACGGAGGGTTGGTGCACTCAACTTGTTAATGGCCCGCGATCCCGCAGTTGAAGCAAGGGGGCGGGTCACGGGTAGCAACAACATCGGCCAACGCCGAGGTCGCGGGGGAGGGGGCCGGCGCAGCAGGGGGGCGAGCCGGACCCTGCTTCTTCTTCTTCTTCGCGCCCTGACGCCCTCACCCCCCATTGCCTCCATTGGCAGGAGGAAAACTGGGCTGGTTGTGTGTGTGTGTGTGTGGGGGGGGGGTTGATAGCGGCGCGAGGGCGCGTGCGGGTCGGGGACGGGGAACGGGCCCGGCGCCGCTCCGGCGAGGGGGACCGCCGCTGGTCAGAGCGCCACGTCTCGGCCGCGGGAGACCGGGGACAGTCCCGACGGTCGTCGCGGGGCGAGGAGCGGCGGC